TGATAGGCCACGAACTTACAATACCATCCACACCATTGCTGTGACCTATAGACATCTACATCTATCCTTAATAAATAATCAAAATGCAGATGCGTTGTCGGCCTTTTGGACTAAGATGAAATGCCTCTTTTCCAATAAAAAGGGTCTCCGGTTCTCTACACTCACCATACGAAACACAGGAGTGTTAAGCTGCTATTTTACGCTAGTATTCTGTGAGAGCATAGTCCTTTCCCGTCGAGCTGATCCATTCGTGCTACAACTATACTACTAATATAGCTACAGCATGGCTCTACCACGTAAAAAAGTTGTCCAGGTTTTAAAATAAAATGATTTGTCTTACCTATCTTAAGGACTCTCAGATTATGTGGAGGATGCCTAATTTAGAGCCGATACATGTATATATATATATATATATATATATATATATATATATAAAATAAATAAATAAATAAATATATATATATATATATATATATATATATTTCCATATATATATTTATATATTTACCTATATATATCTACATATGTATCGGCCCACTGAACTTGGTAAGACGCATTATTTTATTTTATTAGGCGGATCATATTAACTAATTAGTTTTTAACATACTTAATGTAATGAAGTGCCGCAAAGCAGCACCTGATTCTATTAATTATCTTAAATAAGTTGTATTTAATGTTTTACGCACATTGAAAACGACTCAACAACAAAACAATTTAACGACGCTTCATCAATTGGACTTGTGAAGGGCTGTAAGGATGTATTTTTGCTTCAAAAAATTCCAAGAAGACTGTAGTTTTAGTTTTAAAGAGTTGAGTACAAGTCCCACTGTAATCGTTATTGAATTGACGTCAACTTGAAGCTGATAAAATTTTATTTATACCTCAACTTGAGCGTTAATTTGCGGTCAGCGTTGAATCAGGAGCCTAAACGTAGCGCCACACAAACAAGATATTCTACGACCAACACGATTTTACTTTCAACAACTGTATTTAATCAAGGCTATTATACTTGGCTGTAGTATTAATCTGAAATGGTGATTATTTTTTAAATAGAACAAGGGTGACAAACGAGCACACAGGCCACCTGACGGTAAGTGAACGCTGTGGGCCATAGACATCTACATTTATCTTCGACTAAGAATCTCCGGTTCTCTACCCACACCATACGAAACACAGCAGCATTAAGCTGATATTTTACGCTGGTATTCTGTGAGAGCGCGGTCCTTACCAGGTCGAACCGACCCATTCGTGCTACAACCATATCACTGAAGCGTGGCTCCACCACGTTCAGCTCTACCACGTCGCTCATATAGTTTGAAAAACCGTGGCAGACGATTACGTTAAGCGAAGTTTAGATAGTTCAGTGCTCAATTGTTCAATGTTCAATTGTCTCTGAAAATCGGACATTGAGATTATTAAAGTATGAAGTAGCCGTTTTAATGGAGCACTTTGAATTAAAACTAAACTTTGAATTTAAACTATTTAACGTGGTAGAGCCATGCTGCAGCTATATTAGCAGTATAGTTGTAGCACGAATGGGTCGGCTCGACCGGCGAAGGACCACGCTCTCACAGAAAACCAGCGTAAAATAGCAGCTTAACGCTGCTGTGTTTCGTATGGTGAGTGTAGAGAACCGGAGACCCTTTTTACTGGCAAAGAGGCATCTCATCTTAGTCCTCACGGGTGACAACGCATCTGCATCTTGAGTCTTTATTGAGGATAGATGTAGATGTCTATGGGTCACAGTAACCACTTACCTTTACGTGGACTGTGTGCTCGTTTGCCACTTTATTTCTATAAAAAAAATCAGTTTCTCTGTCACCTCTTATATATATATATATATATATATATATATATATATATATATATATATATATATATATATGAAATATATATGTATGTAACATGTATGTATGTATATACTTCTACATAGTGTATCATAGCGAACAATGTGAGTTAAAAGAATGAAGCACTAAACACAATACCAGGAAAATTGTACACCGGAATAAACGGTCAAGGTCATGTGGTTCTACGAGATGACTAAATGACAAAGTGACTAATTTAACAATTGTAGAACGATCAAATGATAACAGCCTTTTTTATTAATGGTGACAAACGAGCACACAGTTCACCTGATGGTAAGTGGATGCTGTGGGCCATAGACATCTAGATCTATCACCTCTGAGGACTAACTAAGACGGAATGCTTTATTTCCAGTAACAAGGGTCTCTGTCGGTGCGTAAGGTTATATGAGACCACACGAGAAGCACCAGCTTACAAATAAAAAAAAAGGTTCACCGAGAAAAAGTTATGAGGTAACACACATAAAATTAAATAAAAAATGCAGTCGAATTGAGTACTTCCTCCTTTTTGAAGTCAGTTAAAAAGCAATAGAAACCGTTTGGTTCTTCTGGTAACACTTCATGGTATGAATCACATCACTATAGCTTTTTTGAGATTGGTTGATCAATAACAGCAGATGTCTATGGTGAAGAACTACGAACAATGTTGATCTGATGAGGGCTGATAATCTTACGCTCACCAGATGGCGCTAGTTCGGACTGAAGTGATTTTATTTATCACGGAAATGGCCACGCGGTGTAATCCTCATTAAAAAAGTGCGTTTCAAATAAGTTTTTTTGTTTCCAGTGTTTGTTAAATATACATAAATCAATGAGTCAGTGCTGTGTTCTTTAATTTTATACACATTTAAATATTGGAACGAAGTTCCTTATCGGGCGGTACGGTTTTGGCGGATGGGAGCTAGGCGACAAAAATTGTAAGATTTTTTCGTCACAACCCCTTGTGTAATAGTGTAGGCGGCCTTGGCGGCGAAATAAGGAAGTGAGATGGAATAATATCCATCTCCCTTGCACTTTTTCTTATCTTGCCATGAAAGAAATATTTTTTTTTTAATTTCAAATGACGCTTCATTTTAATAGACTCTAGTAATTAATTTATTTGTATTTATTAATCAATAATATATAATACATACGATTATCAATAATAATATACTACGCAAGGAACTTCGTTCCAATCGAGTATTCCACGACACTCACGCATGTTAATTTTTAATTCTTCTACTTTCAGGAATATTCATACAATATCCGAGGTCTGGTTTATCCATTTCGAATCCAATTAATATTAAATGTAACTAATATGTTAGAAAGAAACATTAATATCTACACATTTCAGTAATAAGTCATAATCTCATTCCAATTTGGTGCCGCCCTGGTGGTAGAAAAAGTCGTGGGAAGCAACTCCGATTCCCTCGATCTTCGCTATTAACGCTACCTGATAACGCAAGACCTCACACTAATCGACAAACAGTTTTACAATTAATACTCGTAGATCAGCAGTTAGAAAACACACGTCATCTCCCGTACTCGTCAGACCTAGCCCCAAATGATTACCATTTATTCCACAGTTAGCACAATTTCCTGTAAGGAACAAAATTGTTCTAAGAAGGCGGTACAAAATTTGTAGTCTAGCGATCGTAAACGAGAACCTTCCTTCCCCATCGGGAAGAAAGGTTCTCGAGTGGTAGCCTCGTATACTGGTAGGCAGAGTGTAGAGTGACCTGGTAAGACACGCGGGAAGTGGATGGATACAGGTGGCTGAGGACCGTGCTTTGTGGCATTTATTGGGGCAGGCCTATGTTCAGCAGTGGACTTATGAAGGGCTGTACCGATGATGATGATGATCGTAAACGCGGTTGCTCATCATGATGTCCTAGGTTCTAATCCCGGGTCACATCACAATCGTTGGGTTGGAGTTAGGAAGTTGGCGGTGTTTCACCCCCGTGCCTCGGGAACCACGTTAAGACGTAGGTCCTGCGCCTGATCTGTCACCGATCGTGTCGGATTACCGTCGCATCGGGCTGTGAGAGTGAGAGAATAGAGAATGCACCTGCGCTTGCGCATACACTCGGGCACTATAATCCTGTACTGTACGGAAGGCTAGTCTCAGTAGAGACTAACCGCCGTAACCGACATTCACTCTAAAGGACATTAGAGTCCAGATTTCCAGAGGCTTATCACACAGGCATTAATGGTTTTTATGTATATACTAGCTGACCAGGCAGACGTTGTTCTGCCCTTTCCGACGACCATTTCCTTTCTTAAAAAAAAACTCCTGAGATTAGCAATAAAAAAAATTGAGGGTCACTTATCGGGATGAAAACTAAACATCTCTCAAGTTGGATCAAACTGCACACAGCGTGCAAAATTCATTGAAATCAGTTCAGTAGTTTAGGAGTCCATCGCGGTCAAACAATGTGACACGTAATTTTTATATATAAAGATAATAATTTATGTATATACTTAAATTAAATTAAATTAAATTAACTCTTTGAAAAGCTATTGTTTACTTTTTCAATTTTAAACGAAAACTTCATGCTTTGACCCCTAATATTATAATAACACGTTCAAAAAGAAAAAGCAGGTCACGCAGCTACTGTGTAAAAAGTCACAACAAATGTTATCCAATGTATATCTACCCTTTTTCTTATCTCCCCTCTCGATCTATTTGACCCTTAAATTTAAAAAATAACATCATCAACCTTTTTAGGTTTATTGCGGTTATAATCTAGACTAAACCATTACGCTTATTACTCAATTAAAGCTTATTAATTAAATTGTCTATTAACAAGTGAATCTTTAATATGAAACTACCACAATTAATACGTACGAAATTACTAATTAGGCACACAAGTCAACCCTATGTTTAGATAAGAACCGAGTGAGATACTAATTAATGCCCAAATACGATTAATGACGCAAATACTAGAAAAAAAAAATTGCTATGAAGTACAGTCATAAACAGATCGACAATTCCATGAATCACCACAGGAAGAATCGATTGAGCCTTGATGATCCAACGTTCTCAATAAAACCAACGCAGCGCTACCCGGCACGCCATTTAATTGTAAAGCACGCGTCGTGACGGACGTAGTTGTACGACGCGTTTTAAACTTAAACATAAAATAAAAACAAATAAACATGGGCAAAGAGGGTGCGTTCAAAATGTTCCTGCACATATTAAATGGCGTAATAACGGTCTTCAGTTTGGCTTTAGTGGCTGCATCTATCTGGTTCTACTGCGAAGTCGCCGACTTCACGACTCTGCGTAACAGCAACCATTATTTGTTGGATTACAAATTGTATTGGCCCCAAACAGTGCCGTGGCTGTTCTTAATCGTCAGTGTTATAGTTCTGTGCGCGACCGCATGCGGTTTCTCCGGCACCAGGAAAGGTAGCCGTAGTCTTTTGATAGTGTATATAACGTGCCTATCCATTGTTGTGGTGTTACTCATTACTGCCGCTGTTATATCGCTGGTGTTCGCCGACAACAAATCCACCGATGACTTCGTCAAGGACACTGTCTGGGACGTTTACTTCCAATCGAAGACTGACAACGACGTGGCGACGGCTTTCGGCAATATAGAAAGGAAGCTCCACTGCTGCGGTGCAGACAGTCCGAGGGATTACAAGAACTGGAAGGCGGAGTTCCCTGAGTCGTGCTGCGATGTCTACTACCACGGCTTCCTGGACCCTTACACTATTGAGTGCGAGTTCACGAACAAGCTGGCGAACGAGAGATACGGGTGTTCGACGGTGGCAGCCCAGTACGCGAGGATCGCCATCAAGGTTATGTCGGCCGCGGCCATTCTTATCGCTATTATTAGCATGCTAGCTATTGCTGTAGCTGTCGCGTTGTCGAAGGCTTTGACGAAACAACCCAAAGAGATGTCCGTGCAATACGAGTCGGAGAGCAAGAGGGTCTTATTGTAGAGACGTTAAAAAGTGTTTTAAAAACCCAATTTTGTAATTACTCTGTGGTGAGAGGATAGGAAAATTTATAATGGAAATAGTGAATTATGTTTTCATTAACTGTGGACTGAATAGCAATTTTAAGAGTTAAATTAGTAATTGTGTGCTACGTCGCATGGGCGACTAAGTAGAATGACTGTTATTGGTCGAGGATAAACGCTCATGACTCCATGACATCATCTCGCCTTTATTACAGGTCAACACAAAGTACACAAACGCTTTATGGTTTAACCAGGCGATACTAGTCCTTATGTCCGCTTGTGAGAACTGAGATATAGCTTAAGGTCGCATGCTCGATCCGTTATAAGCGTGAGCTTACGTAGTGATCATTTTGTAATGTTTTTTAAGTATTTATTGACACACTAGTTACGACCTTACTCTTTAAGATGGATTTACAAAATTCCTTTTGCAAAGTTTTTAAGCAATATCTAATAACTTATATAGTGTTCTGTTACAAGTAAAACTATTTCGAAAATCGAATGATTAATGTAAAACAAGTTTTTCCTTTCTCGATTTGTAGGAGAAAGCGATTAACTTGTCGCGCTTGTTAAGTAATCAGAGTAAAGTAGTTTTCCCAAGAAGTGTTAATACGCAATATAATGTGTCCAATTTGATTAAGATTTTGTAATAGTTTCTATAAAAATGTTTAATTAGCAAACATTAAACGGAATTTGTAATGACTTTTAAATTATTATTGTCGTTATTAACTAGAGTTATTTATCAAAGATATTATGTTAAGTAATCGTATAACTAAATTATGCAGGCCCAAGTGCAAGGTATAAGAATTTACGTTAATTTGAAAATTGTATTTTAATTATTTAAATATTAAGGAGTTAGTTGTAACTTTGTTTTACTGCAAATCTCATTACATTATTTAGGATTAGATGTTTAAAATTTTGTCTACGCAATTATCGGTCTCAGAGAATTGTAAACGTCGATGTACCTATGTTTTAAGTTGTAAAGTATGTCAATATAGTGATAAGGCTCAAAATCGTTTGAAAGTTCCGTGCGACTCCGGCGCTTGATGGGTGTGATATAAAACTGGTTGCGTCAGTGCATTGCTTCTCATTACGAAGACAACAATCAGTGGGGACGGTCGATTGCATCGATAAACTAAAGATGGCGAAGGAAGATCTCATTAAGGCGGTTCTGTATATTTTGAATATTCTGTACGCAGTGTTCGGTTTAGTGACAGCCGCGACTGGTATCTGGTTCTTTGTGGAGTTAACCGAATTCGTTACGCTGAGGAACACCAACCATTACCTGCTGGACTATCGGGTGTATTGGCCTCAGGTGGCACCATGGTTCTTCATACTGCTGGGACTGTTCGTTATGATGGTGGCAGTATGCGGTTGGTGTGGTACAAACAAAGAAAGCAGAGGCCTCTTGGGGCTTTACACGATATTTTTGATCCTGATCATTCTTGGACAAGTGATTGCCGCTACTCTGATCTTTATATTCGTGGACGGTGATGCGACTGACAGGTTCATCAAGGACACAGTGTATGATGGTTACTACAATTCCCAATCAAACCCTGACGTGTTCAAGCAGTTCGGACGGATCGAGAGGAAGCTCCGATGCTGCGGTGCGAACGATGCCAGAGATTACAGGAGCTGGAGGAACGATCTGCCGCTCACCTGTTGCTTGGACAGTTACTACAGGGCCACGTGTGACTTTACGGACAAGGAAGCTAACGAGAGATTGGGTTGTGCGAAAGTTGCAGCAGTGTACACGAAAATCATCAGTTCTTCGATCGCTGGTGCCTCTTTGATCATATCGTTGTTGGAAATAACAGGGGTCATCCTTGCCTGGAAGTTATTCAATTCGTTCCGGGAGGTTGAACACTACATAACAGAAAGAAAGGAAGGGGAGACGGAGTGTTAATGGACATGTGAGTCAGTATTATTTGTACCGCCGATTTATGTTAAGTCACAAGTTCGAATCCGATGCGACGCGATGCGAACTTACGATGTGCCTGAAGTAACTTTACCTTATTATTTCTTGTTGAAAGTTTTCTATAGATCTTCCATGGCGCTTTCCCTTTAATTCCCGCGGGGATAAAGTTCGTTTCCTTCAGCGAAGGAAATTTAAGAATCTTTTTCCTATTTTTTTCTATCTATATACAGTTTAGTTTTCATGCCTTCTACTAGCTTTTATCTACTTATGTTACCTTAGTAGCGCTTAAGAGAAAACTTAAATTCTTGGTATGACCACGCCTTGGTTTAAGTTATGTATTAAGATTGTGTCACAGTGTGGGCTTAATCAGTAATTTCCTTTTTAATTCTATGATTCATTACCTGTCTTGGCTCACAATAGTTCAATTGTGCATCTCGGTAATCTGTCATTTGACCTCGCCCCCCCGCTGCGTGTACAAAAGTATATCCATTGATGCATTGCCTGCGTGCCTTGCGTAACTACATTAAACTGTTAACCAAGCCTCCATGGACAGCGAGTTGAGATTTTTTAACGTGTTCCACTTTAGAAGGTCATTTATGTGAAAACTCCAACCTCGTGTTCTGACAATATATCTTAATACTAACGCTTTAAGGATGAATACACAACTTCTTTTTTTGTTTTGCGCTGAGACCTCAATCGGCCATCGAAATATGTTAATTCTTACGCAAGGTACACTACCTTAAGCATTTCGTCATATAATATTGTGTATTCTAGGACTGTTTTCGTTTGCCAGGTGTTCATAGTTTCGCAATCGATGCGTATTTATATAGTTATTTAATATTGTTTGTCCGTCTATGTAATAGTTGTATGTTATATGCTTAGTCGTGGAACTTTCCGTCCGTATGTAAGCCGTGTATCTGAATGGAGGGACCGAATAATTCTTGTATTGTATTATTATAAGTCTGTAAGAATAGTTTGGTCCTTTCTTGTTGTTTGTAAAGCAGTACGCATGCCAAAGAATATGTACCTACGTAAAAATGTACACTCGTGGACAAATTATGTATATATATTTTTGCATGCAAAAGAAATATTATATTTTTACAATGAACACATAAATTAATCACATCACTGATTAATTAAGTTATAATTATAACTCACTGATTAATTAAGTTATAATTACATATAAATAAAAGAGATATTTTCTTATAAGTGGAAACCTAGTCTTAAGAATTTTTAGAACAATAAACTTTTTTTTAAACCGTATAAATCTTTATTTTAATCCTCAAATACCAGGATGTCATAAATTCGTAAGACACAATGTTTGTTGTAGATTACATTCGCCTGTCGTAAGTCAGGAAAAACCTAAATTTTATTGTTACAGATAAAAGACAAAATACACTTGCGTTCTTGTTTGCATACAGTCACACGTGCAAGATTATCTTACCCTTGTCAGAGTCGTTGTAAATGAAGCTTTTCTATACAAGCTTTGACATAATTACATTATATTAATTAATTTACAAAATTAATGTGATTAATTTAGTACACTATTTTAATTGCATTGATAGAACAACAAGCTTGCAGTATATTTGGTGATAAATAATATTATATATATATATATATATATATATATATAATAAACTACCTGACATATTAAAAAATGAAAATAATGACATCATATTTACAAAAAAATTAAAACAGTACCTAACTAATAAATGTTACTATAGTAATAATGAATATTTTACAAATAATACTTTTATAGGTTTTACAAAATGATCACTAATTTAAATGGTGTTTATTTTATTACATTTTATATTCAATAAATATTATACAAGAACTGTTCATTTATAGTTTTATTATATACAATATTAAAAACTATAATAATAAAAAAAAAACTAAAACTAGAAACTTAATTATCATATAGTTCTATTACCCGCGGTATCGTGACAAGAACGCTGGCCGCGTTTCCCCGCTGAATGGCTATACTTAGCCTTTGAGCGAGAAAAGAACCAGCCCTTTTATCACCAATGAAAATAATGACTAATCAATTAAATTGAATTCTATCTCAATAAATCAGAATGACATTTTTATAAGTAGTTAAATACGCTTCCTCTCTCCTAGCCCCTAAACTGCGTGCCCAACAGGGTCCATAACACTGGTCTCACATTATTTTATAACATCTTGTGTACATTATGGTTTAGCAATAAAAGTTTGAGTTTAATATTATGAAAATTTAAGAAACTTAAAAAACACGATTGATCATTAGCAGTGATGATTCTAGATATAATTATCCTGGTGGTCCAGATCAGGATACTAGAATAAAGTTATAAAATTATTGTATTGTCATCAGTCCCTGATATGAGTGTAATTATTCAAATCGATCGACCTTTTACAAGTTGGTGAAAATTTACATTAAATGATACCGTTACATAAGTAGATAGAAAAATACAAGCTAAGCTAATAAAAGCGTATTAAAAATTAATCAAGATGTTTTTAGCACACACACAACATCTCTAGAACAGACTACCTTCTGATAAGTGGATGCTGTGATCCATAAATATCAACGTCTAACCACGATTAAAACCAAAATTCTGATGCGCTGTCATTTGTTGCCCTTGAGGACTAAGATTCCTTGTTAACAGTAATCAAGGTCTCCGGTTCTCCGTACCGTTACGATCTATTAAAAGTCCACTACTAAACAAAGGCCTGTCTCGTAGATTGCCTAATTATGTTGTTTATGTATGTGTGTATGTTGTAATATACGGATCTTTGCCGTAGTTGCCGTGTTTTGAACGCGGGTCGACAACCGCAGTTATTTATTATATACTACGTTTTTATTAAGTTACTTTCTTGTTTGTTTGTCTATCTGTCTGTTGTTCCTGGTGGAATCTTGTAACTCAAATTTCGAGCACTTCCCGATGAGTCAGAGACTTGAAATTTTGAACATTACTCAGAATCGGATGACAATGTAGAAATATAAAAAAAAAAATAGAAAAATACTTCACTTGTTTTATTTCATCATTATCATCATCATTACACCCCTTCACAAGTCCACTGCTGAACATAGGCCTCCCCCAAGGAATGCCACAAAGCACGGTCTATTGTCTGCGTTTTATTTGTTATTAGTAAAATACTGTACATCTTCTAGTTTGTTTCCCTCTGTCAACTATTACGACATTAATGAGAAGATATGGGGTTCTAATCTTTCATTAATTATCTCAACGTATTATAACATTCTCATTCGTACTATATTTTTATATTATATTTAGGTTTATTTTGAAGTGACATATTACTGAAGAAATAGATATATTGTACAACTCGAAGTACTATATGTTAAGATTATATATATTATTTATTTATTTAATCTTTCATGCACAAAGTTGTACATAAGGCGGACTTAATGCCTTAGGGCATTCTCTCCCAGTCAACCTTTAGGCTAAACAGAATAGACAAACAAGAGGCGGTGCAGCAGTTATAAAAATAGAAAGGGCTAATAAATAAATATTGTATATACGTATATATACATATAAATATACATATACACACACATATATACTTATGTACACACAATACATACACACATAAATACATACATACACATATACAATGCAAAAATAAAAATGTGTTATAGTATAATATGTGACTACATTTTTATTTAATATCACAACACCACAGTTATATATCAATATTGTATTTTGCGACTAATATCTTTATTTTTTTTATTTCTTAAATCTGCTTAATTTATTATCTGCAGCTTTTCTTAAGAAATGGTAATATCATAACCTCCCAAAAACAATTGACTTCCCTAGTCATTCACTATACATAGTGATCCTGTCGCACAAATTTTACTAGCCTTAACTTAAAAAAAAAAGAATAACTAATAGAAACCAGCTAGCGTTCAGTCTACTTTTTATTTTATTTTCTAAGATATTTTCAAACCTGGAACAAAATTAAAAAATATAATCAAACGCTGGCTGGCTGGCTTTAAAGATTATGAAAAGAATAACTGCGGAGTTTCTTCTCAGGACAGAGAAACATAATTTTGAAACCGTTATAGATTAAAAAAATAACCACTAAACATAAAAATAAAACTTTTCATTTCATTTTCTAAATTATCTGTGCACTATCGCGTAGTGTTTGCTGTTAATAAAGTAGATAGATGACGAGATTATGACTGTGTCTGTGGTCAAATCGGCTAGACGTTATCACTGGAAAAATCCTCAATTCATAATTTTTTTTAGCTATTCTTCATCCATTACTAAGATCGAATTCTACGCTGGTAATTTGTAAAATCGTGAGTTCGTGGTCATCCCCAGTCGAGACGACACATTCGTGCTACAACCATGCTATAGCTGCAGCGTGGCTCTATCACGTTTAACAGCACTCACTTACCGTCACATGGAGATTCAGTTGTCACTCTAATATTTTAAGCAAGCGGACATCATAAGCCGTGGTGGGTGAGAAGTTAAGCGCCTGACGTAAATGACCGCATTCAGCTAAGAGCTACTCAAATTGTACGACTACGTTCTTTCTCTTGACTCACTGACGCTGCGAAGAGATGTTGCTTGCCTTTGCATATTTTTTATAGGATAAGGGCGACAAACGAGCACACAGTATACCTGATGGTAATTGGCCGCCGTGGCGCATAGGCATCTACATCTATCCTCGATGATGAATCAAAATACAAACGCGTTGTTACCGGTGAGGACTAATATGGAATGCCTCGTTTCCAGTAAAACGGGTCTCCAGTTTTCTACACTCACCATACCAAGCAGAGTAGCCTTGAGATGCTATTTTACGCTGGTATTGTGTGAGAGCGTGGTCTTTCCCCGGTCGAGCCTCGGTCAAATCTCACGATGGCACACCCCGAAAAATTACCCGACTCCATCTATTTCTATGATAGACAGCCCACCACTGTGAGATTTACCACAAATTTTCTTCCTGACACTACCTCTTTGTGGATTCTGTTACCACCAGTGATTTAGGGACCT